AATCTACAGCCTTGAAAGTGCTAGCGGGGAAACTAAAGCCAAACTTGGGGAAATTTGACGTGAGTGCTGGTAAACCTGTTTTCTTTTTTTTCCAACTGCATAGTTGCATCGCATTTTTTTTCAATTTAAACGCTCCTACTTCAGGCCCCTCCAGATTGGCCAAGTATTCTTCAGTACTTCCGAGGATCGGAATTACAAAACTACTTCACCAAGATCCTGGAAGACAATCTCAAAGCTGTTGTAAAACCACAATACGTCGACCAGATTCCTAGGTATATTGGTTTGAAGTTTCTGAAGAGAACATCCCATAATTAAAGTTGTATTTGAGTTTAGAGCAGCCAAAGGTACCGTAGAATCATTGCTGTCAAGGAAAGCTGACAAAGGCAACCGCGAGCAAGTTCAACGGGATATGGGTGAGTCATCAACCACTTTCAGATTAAGCTTCTTTTCCCGATAATTTAACATTTCTGCTGAGAAGACCATGTGTTACATTCACTACATTGATTTGTGTTAATAGCTATTCCGCTGGCATTAATTGTAGATATAACAATCTTTTCTTTTTGTATCAGCTGTTTATAAATGACTATAAGAAAAAATAAGAATCCCATTCATTTTGTTTCGCTCTCTAGATTATCAGCTTTGCCTTTGTGAAGCTTGTTTTGAGAGATCTTATAAGAATTTATAAATACGTTCATTTTGAGGAAGATGCGTGTCTCACTTTTACCCGTACAGTTTTTAGAGCTTGATGGGCTGCTACAAAGACAAATCGAACAACTGTCGGGAGGAGAATTGCAGCGATTCGCTATCGCAATGTGCTGTATTCAAAAAGCTGACGTTTACATGTTTGATGAACCATCATCGTATCTAGATGTGAAGCAGCGTCTTAGAGCCGCTTCTCTGATTAGGGATATGATCGGAGCAACTACGTTAGTTATTTTTGTTGAAATTATGAAAGATCATGCGAAGAGGAGGAGTCCTATGAATTCAAGAGTCAAAATTCAGTCATGCTTTTAAATGTTAGGCTTTATCTTTAGCTATGTCATTGTTGTGGAGCACGATCTCGCCGTCTTGGATTACCTCTCTGACTTTATTTGCTGCTTATACGGCGTTCCTGGAGTATATGGTGTAGTGACCCTTCCTTCCGGTGTACGAGAAGGCATCAACATGTTCTTGGATGGGTTCATTAGAACGGAAAACATGCGATTCCGGTACGCTTTTCTCATGCTATCTCTAAAAACATTTAATTGTGTTTTATATTGCAATTTCTTCAGAGACGATAAGCTCAACTTCAAGGTATCTGAACAGCTTGATGAAGTTATCAAACGTACGGGTAACTTTAAGGTATCTCTTGAATGTGTTCCTCTTAGGCTACTTACACATTTTGTTTTAATACAATCCTTATACTTCATTATAGTATCCAGCTATGTCTAAAAATCTTGGCTCATTCAAACTAGATGTAGAAGCCGGCGA